CTTATGCTAGCATAAGCTTCTTGTGATCTTGGGCATAGAGAATATAGAAAGTTTGTGTGACAATAGCTTTGTATCAGAAGGTCTGTTAGAGCTGCATCTTTGCAAATAATTTTTGAGTGGCCTATGTTTGAAATCACAGGATGCTGATGTGATCGTTCTAATTAAGTAAGGGAACAGATTCACTAATATTGACATATTCTGTCAATCATAATTCATTAAAATTCAGCTTTGCTGGACTGGCCATGGATCAAAATCTCCTAATCTGGATTTAAAAAGCAAGTATTACTATCCCAGTGAAATCCAGGAATGAACACATGTTCTTCAAATCTACTTGAATAATGCAAAATGGCCATTCTAATTTTGGGAAGAACATTAAGAAAAAGATAGTTCTAAAACAGAGGAAAAGTGTAGCATGAGAGAAATGATATTTTGGAAAGCGATGGAATGGCAAAACAAACCGCCAACAAAACAGTATGATAAATATACTGAAAATCAGATCATCTGAAATCCCAGAAAGTCCTTACCTGTCACTTGAGGTATTTGCCAATGGATCATAAGGAAAGTTCTCTCTTATCTGTGAGTTACCAAATTGTTATGCATACTTTTGGAAGTCATCATCCCTCCACCTTCATAAATGTAGAAAAACACTTTTAATGATCTATAATAAGGACACATGCAATTACATTTCCAATGATGCCAGTGGCCAAAAAGTATTTGATAAGTGGGATGTTTCCAGAATTCCATTTCCCATAGAATTCTATGTCTAGTATAAGGGGAGCTGCATACAGGGCTTCTTAAACTTTTTCCACTCAAGACCCCTTCCTTTAGGCAACAATGATTGGCATTGCATGGCCTGAGGACATGCACAGCACAAATTGTGCATGCTTTGTGTTCAGAACCAAGGCTGCAGTGAAGCTGTGCAATGTAACAAGGGCAAGCACTGCCAGAAACACCTCGGATTCATTACACATTTGATTTTTAATTAAATTTTTAATTTAAAATTTAAATTTAAAAAAAATTAATTTTAATTTAATTAATTTAAATTATATTTAATTAAATTTTGGTCATTGCATGTTCAGAAACCTTTCACTGCTGCCGAATTTTTGTGACCCCGGGATTGCAACCCACAGTTTAAGAAGCACTGCCAGATTAGAAGGTGTGGTCTCTGATTTGAGGTGAGAAGACTTCTGAGTCAGAGAAGGAAGAACTGCACAGAGGAGAGGCTCTAATGGCAGTGTAAGCCCAGTCCAAAGCCCATTGGCATGGGACTTTCTCTTCACTGTGGTGATAAATGCCCTATCCTGCAAGAGGAATGGGGCAGAGTTGGCAGAATGGAAAAACTCCAGTCTTCCTCAAGTCTTCTTCAGGACTCTTCAAACTTTGAGCTGCTTCAGGAATTTCTGGCTTCCAGCTTTGAGAGGGAAGACGGAAGAGGTCAAACCTACTTCAGACTGCTGAAGGAAAAGACTCAAAGAAGACATGAGGGGAACTGGAAGTCTCCATCATGTCCCCATTGCTAGTTTGCTACACTAAAAACTTCAGGGAACTTCCCCTTGGATGAGACCTAAACATTTTCTTGGTTGAGCTGAGTAACCTCACTCCCAGTGGGAGAGCTTTGTCACTCCTCTATGTATATTTTCTCTGATTTCTGCTACTGATTTAGATAAATGGTTTTTGTTTACTTGTTTTATAATTACTGTGTTTTCATTGTGGAACTGGTATTTGGTAGGAATGGAGTCAAGGCTCAGATGTAAAGCTTGTAGACTTCCTTTCCTCTCTCCCCACCAATATTGAAACAGCAATCAGAAGTCAGCTTGAGCCTGAAAATAATATTTCCTAGACTAACAGCATTTAAGGGAGTAGATAAATATAATGTTAGCGCAGTAACCCCTCTCTTTAAGAAGACCAGAGTGCCGTCCAGTCCCAACTTTTTGCTTCCCCTTCTTAAAAGAAACTGAGGTCTCCTTTGGAGAAAGGAGTAGGGGAAAAGAAGCTAGAGATGGCCCCTTCTGCTTCCCTTCAAGCCTCACTATGCTCCCATGCCACATATGGAGGACAGCCTTCCCAATCCATGGGGTTGTGATTCAGCAGCATTCAGGACACCAATAGATCCAGCTTATTTCTAAGATTCTCAGAAACGGGAGAGGAGACCCAGGCTAAAGGGTAAAAGAAGAACAACAGAATATTTTGAACACAGATTGAATCATTGCATAATTTAAAATGTCTATCTTCAATCTGACCACAACAAAAACTTTGCCATTCACTTCTTGTACCAAAGCATGTTTCTTAGTGGAAATTGTTTTCTTTATTTTCCTCACTATTTATTCCAACAGAAGACTCAAATCCCTAGGATGTGCATGGATAAATTTTTACTCCTTTCCTTTCTGTTTTAAACCCAGTTAAAAATTTGTTTGTTTTGTTTGTTTGTTTTCTAAATGCACGTCCTTTTTCTGGTCCCCTAGATGCAACCTGAGCTCAGATGACTTTACAGATTTTTTCAGCTGAGCAGGAACAGGGGGTCAAGCTAAATCAAGAACAGTTATCATTAGATATAATTCATATCTAACCAAGTAGTTCATATAAATCCATAATTAAGTAGGATATGGGGTATATATGCCAGGACTCTTGGAATGTAGTCCATATTTTAAAATCCAGACAGAATGAAAATTTACCTCATCCATAAATAACACTGATTCTCACTCTGGGGGGAATTTCTTTCCTAAACAAGAACTGCTAAATGCAGGTGAAAATAGAAAGTTAATCTTATTTCTTCTGATTCTGTCCTTGGTGGAGGTAAACAGTTATAATTTTGTCTATGAGAGTCTGCCCTATCTTTTAAGACCTCTGTTTGACTTTTAGCTCTTTTCTTCAAGTTGGCAAATTCCAGTTGCTTTACTTTTACATTAAAAAGTCTTACTGTCCAACACTCAAGTCACTTTGGGGTTTTCCACGGAAAATTTTTCAAATCCTTATTTTCTCCTTATAGAGGTCAGAACTAAATACACTATCATGCCATTCCTACTTTCAATGAATCTGTATTCAGTTCTAACAGTAATGAATGATTCTTGTTATTTAAATAACAGTGGCACGGTTTTCTTTGAAATAGCCATGGTATCCATGGAAACTTGTTGCCCAACTCACTTTTTTCTACTTTGTTCTTTTTTCTCATTTGTTATACTCTATCTGTCCTATTGGACTTTAACATAGTTAACCATAGAAGTCATGCTAGATTTAAAGTCTCTCTTACTCTAACAACACCCTTGCTCAATAGGTATTTTATTTAATCATCTGCTAACTTAATAAGAATGCGCTCTATTTTGCCATAAAGGTCAATGATGGAAATTTTGTAAAGATTTTTTTTTAGTCAACCCAGTTTGACCCTCATGTATAGAATTAATCTAATGATTGGTATCCCTTTCTCTTTTATAGGGCTATGTGCCAGGATGAGTCACAAGTTATTGATTTTATACATGTGTAAGGTTGGCATCTTTCCTCTTTTCCTTCAGAACTCTTATATATCAAGGCTGTAACTGGGTGACTACAAAAATTTGTCAGTTAATTCCCGGTTTATACAGATGACAATATATAAGAATGACATTAAAGTCAAAGAATAAAAGGGAACTTACACTTTCCACAGATAGTCCAAATCTTTCCAAAGGACTATATTTTGGGAAAGTAGTTCAAATGCTGGTGATAGTCGTGAAATGGTGTATTTTATTTGTTGTAAATTACAAGTTAAACAATTAAGCCGTTTCACACTCTGACATGAACTTTTATGTCACAAGAGAAGATTAATGGGTGATAGACCATACCAAAAGGAGACCTTGCTGCCTGAGTAAATATTACCTCAAGTTCATAAAATCGCCAAACTACTTCTTCAGCTGCCCCCTTTCACTGAAAATGTATTTGTTTTCTTTTCTTTTTTCTTTTTGAAGTTCCTTTTTTAAAAAAAAAACCTTAAGAACTAGTCATTTTATTCAGTATCCCTATAATTTTGGTTTATCTGATGTCTGCTTTATTACAAGGCATATTCTGCATCAGCAAAAGCTTTAATATCTGAACACCCCAGCTAACCTAAACCCACTAAATCACTAGCACACTGCAAAATACATGCCACCATCACCCTTATGCAAGCACTCACAATACCACTAAACCATATTAAAAGCTCTAAAGAAATTAGACTGGAAAATCTTGATGAATGATACAAAGTAGGGATTCTAGAAAATGTGGACCACAACACAGCAAAAATAGCAGTGGGCAGCTGTAGCTCTGACGAGATGTACACAACCCCATGGAATTAGATGTTGACAGGCATCTTGGTGGAGGCAGCTTCTCTGTCTACCTAATTTGGGCTAATAAAAAAGTAAAGAAAAAAAAGAAAAATTAAAAAACAGCTACTGGGTGTATAGCCCCAATTTATACTGCAAGCTATTCTCTGTGTGTGTGTGTGTGTGTGTGTGTGTATGTGTGTGTGTGTTTGTGTGTGTTTAATCATACAAAGAGACATGATTTGTATATCTAGAATGATCTTTATTTCAACCCTCTGTGTGTGATCTTCTGCTATGGTCTCCTATCTTTGAGAATCTCCAAGGCAAGACTGAAGATTAGCTTTCAATTTATTGCCTATCAATAGGACACTCTCCATTTGTTTGTTTTCCTAAGAAGAGTCTGCTCTGTTTAAGACTATCAGTTGTGCAGTTGCAGTGGCTTTAAGTACACATGGGAACAGGTCCCATTATCTGTAGATCATTGGCATGTTGGATTACAGTGAATACAAGGGGCCATGATATTTTAGTCAGGTACGTAATTCACAGGAACCCACTGAACTTGAACCAACTCTAACTTAGTACACTTGAACCATAACACTAAGGACTTTGGCCTCGAGCCTTAAACAGAAAAGGAGCCTTAGCCAAGTTGAGAGGGAGGTGTGGAAAGAAGTATAACTTAAGTGAGAGAAGGTGACATGAAACTGGCTCTCACTCTTTCATGGATTACTCCTCTGCTCTTAGGTCTCTCCCAGAGTTATGTGGAGACTTGCAGCTGAATTTCTCCATAGTGCCTCAACTACCTGTTATTACAGACATCAGACCAGAATGTGACAACACAGGGTGAAAGAAGAAGGTGAACTCTCACAAATGGAAGTAAACAAGGCATGGTGAAAGGTTAGAAGTCTGCCTGAAAAATCCTGTAAGGATGGGATGGAAAGGGCCAAGTTAAGGACAAAAGAGAGATATATACGCCCTGAAAGTACTAAAGGGCAGCACAAAACAATTTGTTATTTTCAGAAAATGAAGGGGGAAAAAAAAACTTGAAAGGATCTAAGGGTAAAGAAAGTTGGGGTGGGAGGGAGAGAAATAACAAGTGCCCCAGCCCTCTTCCCCCCTTGTGCATTCCAACAGCAGAAACTTTGCCTGGTATTATGACTACTTTTTGTTTCATGCTGACTGTTCTTGGCACTGCCTTGTGCATCCAAAGATATGTTGCCTGCCCTAAGGGCTCGTAGTGTAAGTTACATAGACAATGAGCTAGGGAAAAAAAATGTCCTTGAGAGGAATGGCATCTAGAGAGGGGGAGGAATTCCACCAGAGGCAAGGAAATCCCCACCAATTCCAAGACTAGAGCTGAATATCTCTCATGTCTATCTATTAAGGCAGTCATGGCCGTGAACACTTTAGCTGAGACTGCACAATGGTTTTCATTATAATCTCCTATTTTCAGACACATTCTCTGAAAAAATAAACCTTACTGGCTAGGATTGTTGAAGCTGAAAGGGATTTTTTTTTGGAAGGCATTTTTCCCTTGTATCACAAAACTTAATAGTCTGCTTTTCTTACAACATTTTGGTATTCTCTTAAATGATTTTAATTCTATGTGTGTCTTCACATAAAAATTATATTTGTTTTTTTCTTTACGTTTTCCTTTCTTCATTTATTGTAAACCTAAAAATGTCCTTTTTTTTGGCTCTTCTTTCTCATTTTCTCTTTCATACTTTCCCCAATTCAATTGTACTTATTAAAGACTTCCAGTTTCTCCAATTTCTGAAATATTGTCACTTCTATCATACTGGATCAATTACATTAATGGGAAACATTAATTAAATAATCAAATTAAACACTCTATTTGTAGTTTCGTTCTCCTTTGGGTGCTTTTCTATAAAGCACTGATACCCTAAGGTACAAAAATACAAGCATTATATATTAGGATAAATGAACCAAGCTACTTATGTAATTAATGAGGGAAAATGAAACAGTAAATAATGTTTCCTATCATAAAGGGTAATGCCCCAAATGTAAATGTTTAACTGAAGAAATATACAAACTCAATCTTTATAATCTCCAGTCCATAAAGGTCTCCCGTAGATAGTACCATAAAAAGGATATTCATCATTTAAATAATAATTTTATATTGAGGTCAACATTTCTCATATTCCTTGAACTTTTCTATATACTTTCTAAGTTACACTAGGCAATTCACTTAACCTCTGAGTCTTAATTTTCTCATTTGTAAAATGAGAGAGTTAGACTTGATCTCTCAGATCCTATTAGCTGTAAATCAAGAACCCTATGAAATAGAGCCTTACTACAGTTTTTGTCATGATCATTAGAAAGATGAACAGATTATTCCTTTTTTATCCTATGATCCATTTACTCAAGTTGTTTTTTTTCATTTCAAGTGTTGATGCTATTCTCCTCTGCCTTATTACATATTCATCATTTTGCAAATTGCCTCTTTGTTTTTCTTGTATCCCTCTAAGAATCTCAAATAAATTCTCCATGATAGAGCTTTCCTAAGCACCACAAATCCTTGTTTATCCTAAATGTTTAGAGGAAGAAGTATTATGGCTATTTGAATATTCTAGTAATATTCTAGTTAATATGTCATTTACCAAATTACTTTAAAAATCATTAGAATACATGAATACACATAACCTGTCTTCCTTTCACTACAATAAATTAGAAGGCACAATGAGATTTTACAGTGTCTCAGGGTGATCCTTATGAACTTTAATTATAAAAGTCTAGCTAATTCTGCCACCTCTTCTATGAAACATTTCATGATCTCCTCACCCAAAAGAAATCTCTCCCTTCCTTAGATTTCCCTTTGTAACAGTCCTATGCATTCATACTTTTCTGATTTGTATTATCATTATTTATCTCTTCTCTCTTTGAATGCTGCAACTGTGTCTTTTTCATTTGAAGATCCCTTACAACACTTGACTCATAGCCCTATACATTTAATAAATATATGTTGAATTGACTTGTTGAATTCCCTGGTATGATAGAAAAAGTTATCACTTACACTTCATCAGTGCTTGGATTTAACATGTGACTAAGGTAGTGAGTTGTGGGCAGAGGAAAGGTATATGCAGCTGTATGATAGTAAATGTTTAACAACTGGCTTGCTGAAAAAAAAACATATACCACACATATTTTTAAGTTTAATCTGCATTATTTTTTTCTCCATCACTTTGTGAGGTCTAGACAATCAACAAAACAATAAATCAGGCCCTAATTCATAGCAATTGCAGATTTGTCAGACAGACCAAGCTGGCTCCAGCAGACTTCTTTTATATATGAGTCAGAGAGCCCTTCAGGAACTACGTTTTCTGGGAGGAAGACTAGAGATATCAGTGATTAAGAAAATGACTTAATTTTGACCTTGCTTCTACTTCAAGCACTTGGGAAATTATAGTATTATACCATCTTCAGTATGGCTGACAGGAATCACTGGAATAATCAAGCTTCTAATCATTGCTGAGTTGAAAAATTAAAATGACCGACTTTCAATATTAATATTCATTCCTTCTTCTTCTCGTCCCCTTAGATTTCTTTCCACAAAGTTCTGGCCAGGCAGTTCCACAAAGGAAGATGACCCTACGTGCTACGTTCATTGTCAGGAGCAAAACCTGAATATTGTTAAGGCAATTATAACTATGGTTATAAAGGCAGGTTTTGTGTAGAGCAAATATACACCAAGTTCAGTAAAGTTCCTCGTGGGAAAAATCTTTGGACTACATGAACAAATCTTATACTTAGAAGTTAATATATCTATATTTCTAGCTACATCTATTCTAGCTATTATAACATATTATATATATATATATATATACACACACACACACACACACACACACACACAGTAATCCTGTGAACCTCAACCATGTAATTATTAAGTCACTTTTAATATTTTAATAAGTCATTTTAACTTCCACAACTTACACTTATCTGGGCAGGTTGAATCCTTGGTAAATATCCAACTACTCTCCCCTCAGAATTGTAGGGATGACGTGTAAGGTTGGGGTTTTTCAATATTATTAATCATAAGTCCCAAGTAAGGGTTTTCCCAATTGATTATCAATTAGCCAGATTTGATTCATTTTTACAAAAGTATATTTTATAAAATAGTGTAGTAAGGAGAGTTATTTTAAAAAATCCCACCAAATGGAACACCCTCTCCTCTTGTACACTCAAGTTATATAGGCTCAAATTTAGAGAGCTCATGTGGCCAAGCACCATACTAAAGGCTTCGGAGTATTTGAAAGTATTTTCTCTCTCCATGGACTCCTCATAAAGGCCCCCTGAAGTATAGTTATCTACTGGGCTCTGAGGGTTTGTGCCTTGGTAGAACTTATAGCAGCACTTCTTTCATAATTAAAACAGGCATGCTTTCTAAATCTGCCTTCCTTTGGTTTGTCTAGTTTGAAAGATCTCAGCTTCTAGATGGATGCATTATTTGTTAATGATGCAGTATCTCTGAAGATGGTGGAAAGCACTTGGATAAGGATTAGACTGAACTCAACTGATTGACAGGTAATTAAGATACAAGCTAAGTAAAAAGTTAGTGAGAGAGAGAGAGAGCATCTAGCTGTCTTCAATGGGTTCCAGTCACTGGGTTCAGTTCAAGTTCATCCCAGGGTAAAGAAACAGATGTGGCCACTAAGACACAAATAAATCATGGAAATCATGGAAAATGAGAGAGCTGCTGAAAGAGGTGGGCAAATGCCTCCATTTTCAAAAAGCAATAAAGCTTGGTGATACATATCTATAAACCCTGCTGCCAGAGAAGCTTAGTCTGGGGGATCTCTTGGGTTCAGGAGTTCTGAGTTGTAGTAGGCAAAGCATAGCAGATATCCACACTAAGTTTAGCATTACGATGTGCCCCTAGAAACATGCACCCACATGGTTGCCCAAGGAAAAGAAAATCAGCCCAGGTCAGAAAACAGTGAAGCCAAAAATTCACTTTCTGATAAGAGTAGGGCTAAGTTGATGAGTAGCTTCTGCACTTCCATACTAGGCAAGATTGGAAGACTCAGACTTTAAAAATACAATTAAAGAAGAAGAGATAGAGTCTTAAATGGTTTTCTACTTAGCTTGCCTTTGATTTCTGGAACAATTCTAGAATATGTTATAAAAAGGATCATTTGTTAGCATTTAGGGAAAAATAGAATCAGCAAAATCAATAAATAAGCATTTCTTAAGTTACTGTTATGTGCAAGTGTCTCAGGTAGGTATTAAGAAACAAACTTTAAAAAGAGATAGCCTTTCCCCCAAGTAACATGTATTCTAATTGGTAGGCAAAACATGTTCACGGATAAGTACATACAGGATAAGTATTTTAAAAAACACACACACACATTGAGTGGTGGAGGAATTAACCACTCGGGGAATCAGGAAAGTTTTCTTGAAGGAAGTGGCACTTGAGCTGAACCTTTAAGACAGTTAGAGGACCCCACTGGTGGAGGTGAGAAAAGAAGGACCACCTTTGCAAAGGACAATGACCATCTTGGGCCAGGACAAGGAATATCTTGTACAAGGAACAGACCCAATATGACTGAAGTGAAAAATGTAGGAAATTGTTCACTATATAATTTATCTGAAAAGATAGACTGGAGTAAGACTGTGAAAGGGCTGAAAAGCAACATAGAGTTCTTATTTTATCCCAAAATATATTGTGGATCCACAGAAGCTTCCTGAGGAAAACTGTGACATTGCATGGTTATGAATTTAGCACAGTGGATAGAGCACCTAATTTGGATTAAAAAAGGCTTGAGTTTCAATCTCAACTCAGACAAGATAGCTAGGTGATCCTTCCCAAAACACTTAAGTTTTCTCGACCTCAGTTTCCTCATCTGTAAAATTTCAATAATAATACTAATATCTTTATTTCAGGATTTTTGTGAGGATTGGATGAGATCATAGACATAAAATCTTTTGCAACCTTTAAAATGTCATATAAATGGAGTAGTGGTGGAGGTGGTAATAGTAGTGGTTAATAAATTAACAATTGCGGATTCCCATTCAGTTATGGATATGGGTACAAAGAGTCTTTGGTACCTTCAACTCAAAGATTCTGAAAGTCTGTGAAAAATAATGAAAAGGCATAATGAAACTAGATTAATAGTATAGATTGTAAGCACATGGGTAATGAGGGTTTGAGAACATGGATTTAAATTGAGGATGCCCTAGAAAACTAATCTATTCTCTATTAACATGGAAAATATCAAGATCATAACTTAAATGCTATTTCTAGTTTAGAACCTGATCAAGGACTTAGATAGATGGAAAAGATCATTTGCTAAACAGCCAGCTCTGAGAAGATGTCATTTTTTCCCCAAAGAACTTGAGTTTCCTTTAGTCCTTGACCTTTACCAAAGTAACGAATGGGAAATAACAACCTATTTCTGATGATACCTATATTTAGCTAATTTTCTAGTTAATAATCATGTATTGTTATATTTATGTCTTATTTATAGATAAAAATGGAACTTGATATTTTTCCCAGTTGGATCCATAAGTTGTTTCCTAAGATCATAAATTTGGAGCTGGAAGGGACCTCAGGATTAGGTTTATCCAACCCCTTCCCTTTATAGATAAAGATACTGAGGACAAATACATTGTTCTTTTTTCAAGATCACATAGATAGGACATAATTTGTAGATCTAGAATTCAAACCCAGGTCCTTTGGTTGCAATTATGGTGCTTCTATAGTAACATAAAATGATTTTCCAACCACCAAACTAAAAAAATGCTTTTTGATGTCACTTGTTTTTCCACACTTAGAATTCCACATTGCTCTTTAATTTCCTCAAAGGCTTTAGCTTACATGCAAATTGTTGGCACTCTCCATGAGTGTCCTATAGTCTTTCATCATTGTCTTTAAGCAGAATTTCCACTGCCAAATCTTTTCATCCCTCCTCAAACTTCCCATGTCTCTCCTTCCCTGTACTTTCTTGACTGAGGACTTTGTCTCATATTTTAACAAAAAATTGAGGCCATTAGCTGTGAACTCTCTTTTCTCCCCTCTTCCTCATCTTCTATCACTCAGATGATTTCTGCTACTTTTTCCTACTTTATCCATGTTTAATAAATGAAGTGGTATTATTCCTTACAAGGGCCAACCCATAAACTTGGTCAAATGATTTCAATTCATCCTGTCTCCTCCAAGGAGAAAATTGTGAAGAATAATCATGAAATAATTTAAGGCAGGAGAAATGGCTAACAGGTAAACAACGCTTTTTTTTCCCATTTTCTTTTTTTTTTAAAAAGGCACCAGCTTGCTTTCTCCCATATACCAAGGATGAATAATAGCAGTTAACAATAGTAACAATAATTAGCTGACATTCATAAAATATTTTAAGGGTCATCTATGTGGAACAATGAATAGAGCACTGGGTCTAGAGTCAGGGAGACCTGAGTTCAAATGTGGTGTCACAGGCTTACTAGCTGTGTGACCCTAGGCAAATCAATTCACCTCTACCAGCCTCAGTTTCCTCAATGGTAAAATAAGAATGACAATAGCACCTACCTCACAGAGTTTTTCAGAACAAGTGAGATAATACTTGTAAGGTGCTTAGCATGATGTCTAACACATAAGTGGTACTTAATAATGCTTCTCCTTTTATCCCAACCATTCCCCTTCAGGGGACAGATGAATGTGAAGCACACCATTAATCATAAAGGGATAGTGATAAGTAAAGTATCTGTGATTTCTATACTACAGAATATAGTGTAGTGTAGGGCAGTGGTGACAAACTCAAATAGAAACTTATGGGGCACATATTAACTTAGAAAACCCCAAATTAACATTGAGTTGTATTGTATTTTCATTTAGTTGTTAGATACTTCTCAATTACATTTTAATCTGGTTCAGGCTCCACACTGGGGTTTTGCCTCTAGACCTATGGGCAGCAAGTTTAATACCTACGCACATGAAATTCCCAGTTAAAAAGCTCCCTCTACCAATGTAAGCTGGCAACATCTCTGCTGCCTAGAATTGCTGGAGGACTAAGAAGCTAGGTTAACTTGCCCAGGATCACAAAGCTACTATGAGTAAACAGCTGGACTTGAGCTTGGGTCTTCCTGATACCAAGTCCAGTTCTTTACCCAAGACATCATATTGTCTCTTAAAATACTCTATGTCAGTTGTTACTTTTGTGAAATTTAAAAAAAAATATTTAGGATGCTGGGTGTCCAGAAAAATTATGTCTTTTTTGTTTTTGCTTCATAAAGTAACTGTTTGATTACTTGGTATGACACCAAAAAAGTAAATTAACTTAGGTACTATTGATACTTTGTTATATTGGCTTTTTGTATTCATGATCAACTAATATTTCTCCAATTATTTAGATGTCTTTATTTGTGTAAACAGTGATTTATAATTGTGTTCATATAATTCCTAGTTATGTGTTGGAAAGTACACTCACAAATACTTTATACTCTACATAGTTATTTTAAATGACATTTCTTTTTTTCTGTCTCTTCCTGCTGAGGATTTGTTGTTAATATATAGAAATGCTGATGATTGATGTGGGATTATTTTGTATCTTAAATCTTTTTGAAATTATTAACTGTTTCTATTAAAAGTTTTTTTGAATTTACTTTCCAATGTTACCTAAACAAACATTAATTATATATCATGTACAAAATGCAATATTTTTTATTCACTTATGCTTATTAGCTCAGGTTCTTTTCCCCCTTTATTATTGCTACAACTAACATTTCTAGCACTGTATTGAATAGTAGTAATGGTAAGGAACAACCTTATGTTATCCTAATTTTATTAGAAAGGCTTCTAGTTCATTGCCATTACAGATATTCTAGCTCTTGGTGTAGGTAGATTTCACTTGTATTCTTATCATTTGAAGGAATAGTTTATTTATTCGTATGTTTTCTAATGAATTTAAAAGGAATAGGTATTGTATCTTGTCAAGAGGTTTTTCTACATTTATATTGTTTTTCTTGTTTTTTTTTAAAATACATTTAATTATGTTTGTAATTTTCCTACTCTTGAGCAACCCATGCCTTCCTGGTGTAAATCCAGCTTACTCATAATGAATAATATTTTCATATGTTTCTGCAATCTTGTTACAATTTTTAAAATTGCATCAATATTATTTACAGACATTGGTTTGCGATTTTCTTTCTCAAATTTGATTCTCCCTGGTTTAGGTATCAAGACCATATTTTTTATTAGAGAAAAGATTCAGAAGGTCATTTTTTTTCTGATGTTTTCAGTTCATGTATTATTAGAATTAATTTTTCTTTAAAGTTGATAAAATTTGCTTATAATTCCATCTGGTCCCAGCTGGAAGAGGGGACTAGCAGGTTTCAGAGGGAGTTCATTATTGGCTTGTTTTATTTATATAATGTTAGGTATTCAAGTGTTTTATTTCTTATTAAATTAATCTGGATATTCTATATTTTTTTGTAAATATTCATCTACTTATTTTAGATTGTGAGTTTTATTGGTGTTTAATTGGGCAAAATAATTCCTAATAATTTCCCTTATTTCTTTTTCATTGGTTATAAAT